AAAAAAAAAAACTATGCCAAGTTGAACTAGTATCAATATATAAGAGGGCTTATTTCTCCATCCTTTCCCCCACCACAAAATACTTTTAAATCTCATCTTTTTAAATCTCATTCTTTTAAATCTCTGTTAGACTCTTGGGCAAAAAGGATATATTCTCTTTATTTGCATTTTTCAATTACTAATTAGATTATAGTTTTATGTACTTATCTTGCCTTCATGATTAAACTTCGCATGGCAAGCACCATTTCAGCCCAATTTTCTTTCTTTTTCTTTTCTTTTTTTTCTTTTTTTTTTTTGACACAGAGTCTTACTCTGTTACCCTGGGTTGAGTGCAGTGGCATCATACCTCACAGCAACCTCAACCTCTGGGTTCAAGTGATCCTCTTGCCTCGGTTTTTCATTCTTTAGGAGAGACAGGGTCTCATTTCTGCTCAGGCTGGTCTCAAACTTGTGAGCTCAATCAATCAATCGCCTCAGACTCCCAAATGGCTATGATTACAAGCATGAGCCACCATGGCTGGCCCTCAGCTTGTATAGCTTCAGTCATCTAAACATACTAACCCTGCCAGAAATCTAACAAGTTTTTCCATCCTTTAGGCCTGATATTTTCTTTAAGTAAATCTCTAGGATGTTGGTGGTTGAGTAAGAGGCAGGAATTAGGTTTCCTGTGAAAGAAGGTACATGTCTCCCCTATCTGCCAGGGACCCCTGGGACCCTGGGTGGCATTCTTTCCCCCTTGGCTTTCCTAGATTCTAGGCTTCCAAATTACATTCACTGACTAGCCCTACTGTCCTTTAAGGGGAGCTTTCTTGAAGTTAAATATATTTGCAGGCTTCATAGTCGATATTAGTAATTCATTTGACTATAATGCCAGCTCAGTTCTTTGTGAGAACATAATAACATAGGCTTCCAGGCTGGATGCAGTGGCTCATGCCTATAATCCCAGCACTTGGGAGGCTGAGGAGGATGAATTACCTGAGCTCATGAATTTGAGACCAGCCCGAGCAAGAGCGAGACCTCATCTCTAAAAAATAGCCAAGGGGCGGTGCCTGTGGCTCAAGGGAGTAGGGCGCCGGCCCCATATGCCAGAGGTGGCAGATTCAAACCCAGCCCTGGCCAAAAAACTGCAAAAAATAAAAGAAAAGAAAAAATAGCCAAGTGTTGTGGTGGGTGCCTATAGTCCTGGTTACCTGGGAAGCTGAGGCAAAAGAATTGCCTGAACCGAAGAATTTGAGGTTGATGTGAGTTAAGATGCCATGGTACTCTACCAAGGGTGACCAAGTTAGACTTTGTCTCAAAAAACAAAACAAAACACAAACAAAACAAAACAAACACAAAGAAATGAATGTTATCAGAATTAACATATTAGAGCAGTGGTCCTCAAAGTGTGCCTGCTCCCTTCTAACGCATTATTGGGAAACCTATAAGAATGCAAATCACCGGGCCTCCCCCCAGATCCACTGAATCTGCGTGTCAGGGCCCAGCCAGCAGGTGCTGCTAATGCAGGCTGATGCAGCATGCCCATCAGTACAAGGAACAGTGACTCACGTCAGTCACAATCTCCTCACACACTGGATCCTAAATGCATCCCACAAGCACTCTGAGTACCATTTGTTTCCACAGGAAGCCATCCATTCTCTCATGACGGCCTGGAAAGTTTCCAGATCCACCTGGGGGTCTCTCTTCTCAGGATCAAGCACATTCCACAGCTCCTCAAGGCCACTGTCTTCCGAGTCTTGGCTGCTTGTTTGTCTCAGATAATTCATTATTTTGGCCACTCCTACTGAACCTTAGGAAGAAGACAGGGAAATTAGTTCTTAAGGATGTCAGAAACCTGCCTTTCTCCAAAGATATGCTTTCTCTGAAGATACAGGGATTGCTGTAATTAGCCTGCAGTAGCAGCACCTGAATGATGTCGAACCTGCTTGCTGGGCCCTGCCACACAGATTCAGTAGATCTGGGGTGAAGCCTGGAGATTTGCATTCTCACAGTTATGCTGATAGTAGGGAGTGGACACACTTTGAGAATCAACCTTACCTTCGTACCTTACCTTTCTTTGATAGAGTCTCACACTCTATTGTCCTGGGTAGAGTGCATGGCATCATGGCTCCCAGCAACCTCAAACTCTTGGGCTCAAGTGATCCTCTCGGTTCAACCTCCTGAGTAGCTGGGACTACAGGTACCCACAACACCTGGGTAGTTTTTCTATTTTTAGTAGAGACAGGGTCTCACTTTTGCTCAGGCTGGTCTCAAACTCCTGAGATCAAGCAATCCACCTGCCTCAGCCTCCCAGAGTGCTAGGGTTATAGGTCTGAGCCACTGTGCCCCTCTCCCAAGATATACTTTTAACAAGTGTGGTCCTTAACTCTTTCATGTCTCCTGGCTCTTAGAAACATGCCATGCAACCCTCACTGTGTTGTCAAGCTGGCATGGTACAGCAGACCACTGGCCTTGAGCTAGAATCTAATGGACCTAGTGTCGACTCTTGGCTCTGATGATCACCAGCCGTGTGACTTTGGAAAAAAATCTAAGCCTTGGTTTCTTCGTAAGATGTGAATGGTGACATCAATCATATAGAGTTATTGTGAGGTTTAAATATCAATACATGTAATCAATAATTACTTATTGGAGGTGACCAAAATGAAACTTTATTTTTCTCTCATTCTTTTCTTATGAAGCATTCAGTGAAGGAAGTTTTTCTTTGGCTCTGTGGGAGTCCATTCTCAGACACAATCAGTCCCATAATCACATCCAGAAATTAAAATCATCTAAACTATGTTAGTAATTGACCTACTAATCTTTAAAAATAGGACTTCTCAGCCAGGCACAGCAGCTCATACCTATAATCTTAGCACTATGGGAGGCCAAGGCAGGTGGATTTCTTGAACTCAGGAGTTTGAGACCAGCTTGAGCAAGAGTGAGACCCTGTGTCTACTAAAAATAGAACTAGCCAGGTGTTGTGGCAGGTGCCTATAGTCCCAGCTAGTTGGGAGGCTGAAGCAAGAGAATATCTTGAGCCCAAGAGACTAAAGCTCTTGTGAGTTATGATGATACCACATTACTCTACCCAGGATGAC